TTGACTAGGTCATAAGCGCTATTTGTCTAGTCATTATCGTATCAGCTACGTGTGACAAGAATGAAGTGGATAAAAATTGATAAAAGTGATACAATTGATACTATTAATAAAAACTAATTGGTAGGTAGTAAAAAAAATTGGGTTTCCTAACCGACAGTCGTCAAAAATTAAAAAATAAAATACAACCATTCCACCCCTGGAGAAATTCGAAGTTTTCAAATAATTATATCGGCAATTTGGCCTGATGTATACCTGACAATTTCGAGAAGAAATATTCATATCTTTTCTAACAAATACGAATTTTATCGGTGGAAATTCGGCAACACTGGAAAGTTCTTAAGACGTTTTTCTGTAGCACGGCAGAGGAGTCGAACGGCGAAGTTTCACTTTCATTAAAATAACTCGGAATAAAAAATGAACCTGTCGGAACTAGTTTCGTCGCTCCGCGTGTAAAAAATGCACCTTTGCCTAAAGTGGCCCGCGCGTTTCGTCCCGTGGAACGATCGTATGCCTTAGTAATTCACTACCGTTTTGAGGAGAAACGCCGTAAGAACATCCGGATGTTGCCAAATTTCCCTGGGTAAAAGATTTATTTTTGAAGAATACTGTGAAGATTTTTCCGTGAACTTTTCGGATACTTTTTATCAAAGTGCGCACACAATTCTCTAAAAAATTGGGGGGAAAATATAAACAGGTCTCTAAGGAAATTCATGTTTTATCAAATGCAATTTGACAACATCCGAGGGCCGATACGACGTTTTTTCTCAGCACGGCTTCATTTTTTCACCATTTTGCATTTTCGTCCGGTGACTCGCACAATTAGACGTATTTATGCTAAAAGGAACAATGTTACATTCAAACCCTACGCACATAGTTCCTTTTAGCATAAATACGTTAAATTAGTCCTTCCTGTTATCTGATTATTAGGTCTGCCTCATAGCAGTGAGAGATCAGTTCATCGAAGCAGAGATAGTTATGTATTGGAAAGACGGAAAAAGAACTATCAATACCTGAGTTTAAATGCACTCCTGAAACGGTCAAAAGAACTGACAGCTTCTGCTAAAGAATGTGAGTCTTCGGAACTTCCTCCTGCTAAAGCTGTAGTTCATTCAAACTTTTGGGAATGCTTTTCGGCGCAACCTTGGAAGGTGTGTCCTTTTCAAACCGTTATTCCTAATAATCCAGCTATTATCAAATGATTAGAATAATTGGGGGTTCGTCATTTCTCTTCCGGCATATTTGGGCAACTGGTCATCGTGATCAGAATAAGCTTTCTCAGTTTCAAACCGAAGATATTGAATTCATGTTCGATTTGACCGCGTGCACCTTCAGTTAATCGTCTAGGCAAAACTCACATTTGTTGAGCAGTAATCGATGCTTGTGAACATTGTTTCCTCAAACGAATCCCACGTGTCAATTATTGGACTGCATTTTGCAATTTGGAACTATAAATTCTGGTCCAATTTAAAAACAACGCATGTGCCATTAGTTTCCCAATGCACATAAGAGTTTTTTCAGATGAGCCAGAATTTATAGTTCCATATTGCAAAATGTAGTCCAATTAATCGTCTATCTCGGTGTCTGGTTCAGGTGTTTTGTTCTGGTTCTCTCATGCAATTGGATGTATTTATGCTAAAAGGAACTAAGTGCATAGAGTTTACGTGTAACATAGTTCCTTTTAGCATAAATACGTCCAAATGAGAACCGGCAACAAAGCTGATATCCATCTCAAAAAAGTTTCATGCAAGGGGAGTTCATGTTCACGTCCATTTAACTGAGAGTGATTGTGATGAGGTCCTGAAAATCAAATGCAAATCTTTACGGGCTACTTCATGATTTTTTGTTACTCCTTTTTTTCGGTTTTTATTCTATAAAAGTTTTTAGGTGAAGAAGTCTTGCATGTATAAAAAGAGTTGTTGTCACGGTACTGACTATTAGCGTTCAGGGGAGTAAGATGAGAATCTGGAATGAGTGCGAAAAAGTGGAATAAGAGAGCATCGTCAAATAATTTCAGTGTTTCTGCTAAGAGAAGTTGATAGCGATAAGTGAAACAGGAAGATTAACGCTCCGAAAGGAACTGGAGAAATTGTTTAATCTTATTTATTGTATAATTTACAGATATGAGATGAACGTTTTACCCGCTTAAAAAGATTATATTGAGGTTGACTCATGTTATGCTACACGATGTTTTTTGAGATGGCTCTACAAAACAACAAAAAGTTGGGAATTTAGCGACGGTAATGCCAAAATAACAATAATGTTCGTCAATTAAAATTGATCATTGCCTCACTTTTCTGAGTGCATATTGAGGCTATTGAGTTGTTGGCTTTATTATTGGTAAAGATGAGAAGAAATTAAAAGGAGGACGAGTTGAGTTATCTTTCTATCTGTTTTCTTGCGTATGATGGTGATGGAGGTATACCTCCGCTTTTGTAATAGCATGCCTTTTCGTGTGACAGTTTTCAGTTCGCACCCAAAAATGAACCTTTGCAGACCTTAATGTTGGAGCTTAGATCGTCAATGGTACAAAAGAGTCTTTTTTCATGAAACTTTGGCTGTGGCGAGTGCGGAAGTTGACTTTCGGTGGCTCGGATACGCTTTTCAATGGTGGTCGCTGGTCGGTCCCAGCTTTCACACGTGGGTGAGCGTAGACGCGGTGCGGTGCGCGATTGAAATTAAAATATTTCGGTTGAAGAATTAAATGCTCGTTGATGGCACAGTTTGATTACGCCAGATGCTCATGTCCGAAAGCGCCGCGCCGTCCGATTTCTAACATTTGCATACGTGTGCCCGTGCGACTCAAGGCGCCCCCACGTTGCCATGCCAAGTTCAAGTTCGCGATCCATAGATCGTTTTCGATAGTGGTTCGATGTATCGTTTGGTTCAAAACAATAGAACATAACCTCAAACAAAACTTCTAGGATTTCAGTCGGAAAAGCTGAAAATGAGAAAAATCTTAGGAATTAATGCAGCATATTTGCTTCATATTTGCTTCGGCGAGTACATTACCAAACGTTTTCCCTTATCCTACGGTTAAAGATTCTACACCTTCAATTACCGATTTTGCCCGCGGGAACCAAGCGAGTCACTCTTCCAGAGCCTCCTCTTGGTTGCCACGTCTCAGAGAAAACAGGAAAAAAATAGAGGAAGAACCATGTATATCCAAGCATAGAATCGTGTAGCATCCCTAACCGAACGCACCACTCATACCTACTCTCATCAATCTTTCCTTGTTTGCCCGTCAGCTTTTACTTATTGTTGAACAACACCTATTTACGCTCTTCTTAACACGATCTAGCTACGATACCTCTTCACACTCCAGTAAAAATCATCCTAAGGAGGTCTGCTACTCCATTTGTCTGAGGGTTTAATTATTTATAGAGCCTTTATTTTGTTCCAAGTCAGTCACGATCCAGCAATTCCCTACGTCGGATCCCTGGCCTGGCTTATATTCGATCTTTGAAATTGCACCTTTAGTTCTTACAACTACCACTTCTACCTTATTACCCCTCATGTCTCGTAGTAAAAGCTTTCAAAGTAGGCAACCAAGCGAAGAAGCGTCGATTTTCTCTTCAGATTATTTTTCAGGGTTCCAACTGTGCCTTCATGAAAATAGGCTGGGAGTTTTTTTACTAAAATCAGCGAATGGACTGAAATATGACACCGCGTAATGAATTGATTATTCGACGAGAAATTAAAATTCGATAAAAGTACAGAAAGAAAAAAAAATGTCCTATTTTGAGAAATGTGACTGGCAAAATGTTATAGATACATTAAAAACACATTTATTTTAGAAAATGACTATATTAATTATTCGATTTAAATAAACAATAACGTAGCCAATGAATCCTTTCTTCACAATCTAATACGGTGCCTTTGTGCAATTAAATTTTGCAGACATTTCATAGCCGCTGGAAAAGCTATTGCTAAGGATAATAGCAAATTGGCAACATTGGACTTAGTCTACTAATACATTTAAAACAATTGATGTATCGAAGTAGACTGCTTCGCCTAAATTCGATCATTTCTAATTTTTTAAATGAGGAAAAAACCGTGCTGCCAACTTCCTACGATTGCCACTGGGTGAGGCAAGCTTTGAGGAAAATTCACGCATAAAAATTCATACGTAAATAATTGAGAGTTAAACGGTCATCGGGTCAGGTGATTATTTTCAGAGACACGTGAAACTGCTTGAGTAGTTTTTTTTTTTTTTTTTTTTGGATGGCTAATTCATGCTGAATTAATAGCCTCATCTTAAAAGGAAGTTATAACGACGACGCTGCTGATCGACAGCAATCAAGCTTGGCGAACCTTACACGAACCAAAAAAACATTTTTGGACCACGGGCGCTTGTAGCTTTGAATATTCATGTCTGCCCCTCAGGTTAGCGCATGACAATTAAATATTTTCTTCTTTAACGTTTCCACCGATAAACGGTGGCCTACTTACCCATTCGGAACTGTAATTGAAACTAATTGCGCGCTGCGAAACTTAAAAAAAACCTCGGGCCGTGCTGCCAGCTCATCGTATAGTAAAAATGTTAAAATTTGCGTGCGTTATGATTAAGTCTAACTTCCTATAAATTGTTCGGCTAACGATTACGCAACGCTATGAGCCTTATAAGACATTACTTAGACATGATCTCATCATTGGTTTTTGGTATTATGTAGGTACGTGTACTAAATGTTGATGGTGATACTACAGAAGCGCGCACCCACCTCAATTTGCGACCAGTATCTTGCAAACTTCTCTAACTTCACTTTTCTTGAAGAATATTCAATGAAAATTTCAGGCCACGGTATGGGTTTCGTCTCCTTTTCAATAATAAAGGAGGAGCAGAGATTTTGAAACATACCGCAACTGAGGTATGAATTCTTGCACTATCACTATCCATGTATCACTTTCTATGTCCGGCAATTTTCAGGTGCTACATATAGTTTTGTCCATTAATCTTTTCTCAATATCCAAAGTTCTAAAGTTTTTGTTTATTTGTGTTTCAGGATTTGTGACTGCCACAAAATGAGTTGACTTTGGAAGGTCATTGATCAAGGTAATTTATACACATTATACCGATTAAGTAATTTAAATATTTGTAAGTTTACGTCAGCATATTGCATCACAAATGGGGGGGGCAATATTACACAAGGTCCTGCATAACTGCCCTCTATTTGTTTCACGTATCCTCCACTTACAAATTCGCAGCATTTGTAATAAGGATTTGAATTTTAGGACCATACCTATCGGTATAAATTGAACGGTACATAAAAGCATGAAGAAGGAAAGTAAAAAATATATCTATAGCCTTACAATCGTAGCAAACTATGTGAGGGGAGGTTTTAATTGTCATGCAATCGCTTACCTACTTTGAAATCTAAGCCACTACGTCTGTTTAGATCATACACAATGATACATAGTCTGATAGAAATTGAGCAAAGAATTCGGCCGCCAATGAAATTTTATTTGAAAGCAAATTACCTACCATCTCAACGACCTGTAGTTTTTAAAAAATTGATCATGCTGAACCGCGAGAGATCGCCAAGAATGCAAAAAGCACGCTGAACCATTTCAGAGACTTTAACGCGGCGTTAGAAAAGTAGGCGCATCAACGAACGCGAGTTGCTTGCCACATTACGTGGAGACATTATTAATTAGAAATTTTCTCATTCTGAGCTACACGTGAGATCGTTTAGACGGAAAAATGCCGGAATCACTTCAGAGACTTTAACGCAGCAACAGAAAAGTAGACGTACCGACAAACGTGAGATGCTGGATGCATTCAAAAGTAAATATTTGAAATTTTAACCCTTTGAGAATGAGATTTAAGGCTTTTTAAGCTCACGCTGAGAGGAAAATGAACATGAGGGGGCTTAATATACACTTAACTACAAGCCTGTAAGAAAAAATTAAAAAAATTACATCTATAAGTATCGAAGACAAGTAAACAAATTTTTGTGCGACGGGGAAAGGGGAAAACACTTTGTGATGCGGGCCTCTTGGCATACGGCCCTTTGCGCATATGGTGAATCCGTCCCTGTTCCTGCCGAGTTTTTCGCCAATATTTGACCTCACTGGAAAAACTCTTGATTCAATCAGAATCTAGCTTAAATCAAAAACCAACCCTCATAATTTAAGCGGATTTCCTTTTGATTCAAGCAAAAATCCGATTGAATCAAGAGTGTTTTTTCTTGTCACTGTTTTCAAGAGTCTGGACTCTAGATCCAATGTTTTTTTTTTTTTTTTTTTTTTCCAGTGCTCCAAACTCGCTGTGCACTCGTTGAACTTGCAAATTCAAGTGATGTTAGTTGCCTAAGTCGAGGTTTCCAGGCGCTTTCGGCGATAGCAGGCATGGGTCCGCGCTTTGACACTCTCGACCCATGCTGAGCGCCAGCCGGCCGAGCTAAGATCNGGGGGGGGGGGGGGGCGGCTTCATTATCCGCGCAACAGATCCGCGGCCAAGTTCAAACTCTTCGCGGTGGTGCGGTGGCACGGCCGGCGTGATGCGGCCGGTAAATGAGAATGTAGAGAAACGAGGAATCCACTCCAGCATTGCGATCGACCGCCGCGCCGTGACTTCTGGGTCGCGACTCAGCCGCGGTGCTGCGTTCACCGCGCTTTGCGTTGGCGTCGCGACGTCGTCGTCGGTAAGGGGCCCCCAATGGCGATTCTTGAGAGTTGGCAACAGTGTTTTTCCTCCGTATGAATCCATTAAAAATATCGAAACATCGCAACCACCGATATTTTAGGCGAGGCAATTTGCTTCACCAAGAGTCGATTTTTTACGTACATTTAAATGGAAGAAAAACGATGTTGCCAACTTTCTGGAATTGCAACTGAGGGCCCTCTGCCTTTCCGTGGGGCAGCGGAACTGTGATGAGAAACCGCTTTTCGGGCCACTTGCTCGTAGTTCATTTCGCCGGCAGAGCGCACTCGATATGTGCCACGCAGAGGGTATAGCTTTAGCGCAATATTCAAGGAGCCATTTGGCTGATAAATTGAAATTTTAGGCACCATCTTGACTCTTTTAGGAGCAATAAAAAATTTTAATAATTCACTTCCATCGCTTCAGAGACCAGAGCAGTACCTGTTTTTAGGCACCAAAAGCAGATCCTTCCCCCCCCCCTCCCATTTTCAGGCGTCTAAACTCAATTTTTAGGAACATATGGCGCACGACGCTAGATAAATTAGAGAATTACCAAACTTGAATAAAGTCAGGTACATCCAAACGAAAGATCAGTTGCTTTGCTCTACATCGGACATTGTAAACCCTTCAGATTACGGAGTTACTAGTTGCGGAATTTTTGAAGATTTTTACCTCGCTCCTAGAACTTACGCATCTTCCAAGCCCTTCAGCTCACGATTCAACTGTACTGCCTCCCCTGCCCGCAGTCAAAATGCTAGTATTTTTAGTTTCATTACATGTTTATCCCTTCAACACCATTTCAGTCAATCTTTGCAGAAACGACGTACCTATTAGCTTTGCGAAGCTACTAAGATTGTGCAACTTGGTGGTGCCGCAACATTTGCAAAAAACCAATTTGAAATCTCAACTGGAATTTTTCCTTTAGAAATTTTTCGTATGCTTATTATTTTTCTTACAATGAAATTAACATATGTGATGGTTTGATTTGCCAAAAATTACAGAAAAATTGCATAATCAAAGCAACACCTCAAAGCAGAAAAGACCTTTCGGCAAAGAATATAGGTATAATTTATCGAAAAAAGAAACCACCCGGGTGCGCACTTACATTTACCTAATTGTGCGAGGAAACCAGTAGCAGATACGTCGTTTCTTCAGTGTATAACCCAAAAATCGATTCCCTTTTTTATGAGTGCCGTCCATTTTTGATCATCGATAAATTCACCTGTAACAGCATCTCGTCAAAGGACGGGAAGTCAGATCAGATGCTAGGGGCATTTTTCGTGAAAGGTAATCGCCGTTACGAAAGAGTTCTTCCGACAGTGATCCGGATGTCGAACCAGGAATGACGGGGCTCATCTGGTTTTGAAATGCAGGATCAACGGTGCAACATGCCTTTGGAGACTTCGAGAGGCTGAAAAGGTCGACCTGCCTTACGGCGGCAAAATGCGTCCGACCGGATGATCTCTCGATGGTCGCTCTTCAACGAGTATCGGTATGACTGGTCCTCCGCGGTGACCAATTTAAGACTGGTCGTTGACATCTGTCACCTGGGACAGCTTCCGAAAACATCGAGAAAAACGACGAGATATCCGTGTTAATGGCCTTCCGCAACTTTCTCTGCTAATATGCTCCTCAGGTATGTCCGAGGAAGTCCCTTTTCATTTCGAAAGCTCTCGCGTACCGCATACTGAAAAAGGGCAGCTTTTGTGCCGATCCGTTCCGACTGATTTTGATTGATCAAAACGTGATGTGCTATACCTCTTAAAAGTTGTGTCTCCACCGGGAAAAGTGAGCGTGCACTGGAAAAAAAGAATCTTAAATTTGCCGCCAAGAAGTATTACTTCTTAAATCAAGAATTTTTCTGGTTAATATAAGCTACTTTCTTGCTTAACCCAAGCATTATTTTTCTTGTATCAAGAAAAAGTCAGCTTAAAGCAAGAAAAAAAAAAAATTCTTGGCGGCAAATTCAAGAATCATCATACTTGATCCAAGCTACTTTTTTTTCAGTGTGTGTTTCCTCGCATCATCTATAAATATTCTCAGAGAATTGGTGAATTAAATTGTTCATTAGATTCAACTGGCTGACACGTCTATTAACTTTAACACTGCCCTGCATGGAAAAGAAATTGAGAAACCCACTTATGTTACAAACGATCGTGTCGGTACCACATTGAGATCATGTTGTCACCCACATGGTCCGTTCCGAATCGTGTGGGTGTCAAGTGTCAACATGATACAAGTATGGTATCAACTTGATCAAAAAGACCGAAATGGCACCATTGATCTTAACTTTGCAAGATGAGAGAAAAGAAACAACAAGAAACCAAAAATGTTAGTACCAACAAAATGCAATTTTGAGACCAAGATAGCGGCAAAATGGTAGCGTGTTTCACTAACCGACCAGTGGTGAAGCGTAAATGATCGATTATCGATAATCACTGGAAAAAAGGAATCTTAAAGCCGCCAAGAAGTATTTTTCCTAAAATCAAGAATTTTGCTGCTTAATACATAAACAAACTACTTTTTTTCTTGATCCGAGCATTTTTATCTTGTGCTAAGAAAAAATCGGCTTGAATCAAGATAAAAAAAATTCTTGGCGGCAAATTCAAGAATCACCATGCTAGAGCCAAGCACTTTTTTTTCAGTAATTTCTCATTTCAAGCTATTGTTAAAAATCGATTATTAAGGGTTTCGTTGCAAAGGCCCTGTTCATCGATTCAGTTCTACAAGTTTGAATGACAGATCAACCGATACATCGCAAAGCTCGTCACGCCACTGTAACTGATACGGTCAGAGGTCATGGTAGAGATCATCGGTATGGTCTGAATGAAAATAAGAGATTCTAAACGTGTAAAGTGCTACATGTTCAGATGCGAATGAGGTCTTTTTCGAGAAGCTGTCGTTCCTGATGTCATTTTTTGGAGACATTTTAAGTTCGGTATAAAATACTTAAGTTTTCGTCCCATGTGAATTGTAATTATGTATGAGGATATCGTATTCGTGTAAATGAGAACGAAAGAGAAAAATTGTAAAGTAAGAGAGACACTGACGCGAAAGGAAGGAAATTCTCACGTTGTGCTCTCGGGTGATTATACATGCACATAAAATAGACACGATACTCGGGTGCTTGACCTCCACTTTGCGTTAGTTTGCGTGATCTAATAAAGCGGGCAGGATAGCCGCAGATGCGTATAGCAGCTTTGCACGCCGGTGATTGCCCTCGTTACGTAAGGCCGGCTCATCACTTGCGTATAGAAGCAATATCCTTTTACATACTATCACCGGCTTCAAGGATGTCCATATCGCAATGGCGATGCATCGCTTCGGCTTACGGATTAATCAACCAAAGGCCGGCTCAACGCACTTATTCAAATCGTATTAATTCAAGCTAACTTATTGTTCTTCATTTG